GAAGACTTCCAAACAAAAAGCTAGAGAGGGTATAAAATGCTACTGCCATGTGCTCACTCTCTTCTTCTCTCCTCTGCTCTTTCCTGAAGAACCATCTTTCTGCTTCTGCAATAAACTGTAACCATCTTCCCAAAGCAGTCGCCATGTTGCTTATTTAATAATAATAATAATAATGATAATATTCCCGGCTTGGATGAACCAGGATGAAGACTTACTTCTGACAATATAGTCAAGTGATCACAGTCTTGCAATCTTCTCCGTTGGCTTCCCACGAATAAAGTCAACGGGGAAGCCATCAGGACCTGTACGTTGCTCTGACTCCTGATGCTTTTTCTCCAGAGGATCCCCTGGGTGAGCAGGCAGCTGCCGAGTTGCACCAAGCTGCAGCAGCAGCAACCCCCCCCTCCATGCCTCAGGTGCACCACTTGCCTTCTCTTGCCTACACTTTCCGCTGACCTGCCTGCAAGCTGCCTAAGAGAAGCCTTTCGTGATTGCGAGTTGCAATTTCTTACTGGCTTCCTGATTGCCCCTGCTCGTTGGAAGCTGGCAGGAAGTCCCAAACCTCAGTCGGATGAGATCCTTGCTTAACTACCTGTGATCCTTGCTTTACAATGGGAACAGGAACTGCTGGGATTGCAATCACTAAGTGATGTGGTCACCTGATATTTGCACTTCATGTCCACATTGCTTAGCGACAGAATTTCCAGTCCCAATTACTGTCATTAAACGAGGGCTACCTGTAAAACAGCTAGTTTATACTTACCCCATTTGCTATATTATTCCATTCCTTTCTATTCTTTCAAACTACCAGTTTTGGCTTCCACCAAATCCATATATTGCTTTATATGTTGCCCTTTGTTCGTTAACCTTTTGAGGATTGTATTAATTTGGCCATGATTTTCTCGTAACTTAGGTTTTAGGTTTTAGGTTTTATTAAATTTATACCCCGCCCTTCTCCTGGCGGACTTCATTTTCCTTCCCACCCATTCATTCTTCTTCCCTAAGTTTATTTTGTAATTTAATCTTTATTCGTTCAACTTGAAACTGGACATTAATTTGTGTAAACAAGATTAAATTGCTGTTTATTGTATGGGATAGCTTAGCCAGTGGTTATTTCTTTACATTCTTGAAGTTTATTTCAACAGGAATTGCATGTGATTTACATGCTATTCCTTTGTTTGAATTTTCATGAAGTTCTCCATATGTTGTCTGACCTTTAGAAATGGTTCTTTTTAGTTATTTATGTTCTTGCTGTAACTGAAAATACTGGGAACAAACAAAACAATTTTCTAAATAGCTCTTCCTGTATATAAGTCTCTCTTTGTACTATTAACTGTTTTAATTATGATTCCACACTACTAAAGAAGATTTGTAAGGAAATATCTTGGGGTTTCTGCCATGAATTCTGCAATAACCAGAATTCTGCCATAACCAGTTAAAATTTAGCTTCTTTTTAACTTGTTTTTCCACGTTGGGGGCAGCTGCTTCATCCATTCATTTAGAGCTTGAAGATGGATTACATATTACTACACAGACCCATACCCATAGAAGATGACTTTCTGCACTCCTAATTTTTTTTCTTTTAATACCCCTGTAATCCAGCAGCCCCCAACCTTTTTGGCACCGGGGACCGGTTCTGTGGAGAGAGGTGTTTCCGCGGACCAGAAGGGGCATGGTTTCACATGCTGCCTGCATCCTGTGGATGGGGCTTCATTTGTTTGCACAGCCCAGTTTCTGGCATGTCACGGCCCGGTACCAGTCCACTGACCCCTGGTGTAATCCTTTACATCGAGATGGCATCAGAGCGACTGAATGGAGCTCAGCGTTTGCTGGCCAGATGCCCTTCCTGACACCTACGTGGAGTTTGCAGCAGACAATTACTCATTGTGCCCAGAGAGAGAAATCTCTGCCACCACCTAGGATCAAACCCACAGCCCCCTGATTGTGAGGCGAGAGCTCCACCTCTAGGCTACCCCACCGCTCTTCTGCATTCCTAAACATTTACAAATAATTTAAAGTAAGTGTACTGCCAAAGTGAGATTTTCTACAGGTAGTAGAACTTATACCATTTGTTTAATGACCATTTGAACTTACAATGGCACTGACAGAAGTGATTTATGACCGGTTTTCACACTTATGAGTGATAGCATCTCCATGGTCATGTGATCAAAATTCGGACACTTGGCAACTGACCTGTATTAATGAAAGTTACACTGTCACTGTCCTTTACCAGATAAAGAAGCTGCCTTATCCACTATCAGTGAGATTTCCGATGTTTTGCTAAGGAAATGTACAAAGAAGTTAGCAAGACATTCAACCAATTTTTGATACCCACACTGATACCCACACTAGATAGTTGATTCTAAAGCTGCCCAGCTTCATTTTTAATCACATCCAGGATTTACAATGCCTCACCCTTCACAGAAGTTCCTGTGTTCTTGGGCTGACTGCCCTATTAATAGAGATGCCGAATTCTGTTTTGTCTGCAAAAACGTTCCTATGGTAAAACCAGAATATGCTAAGTGGGGGGGAAAAAAATCCAACATATGAACCTACAAACTTGTACACATGTCATTTGCACCAACCCAACGTATTCATCCCAGCCACATGACCAGTCTTTGGACAACACTGGCTCCCTTGGCTAGGAAATGGAGATCAGCACTGCCCCTTAGAGTTGGACTCAGCTGGACAGGGGAAACATTTGCTTTTACTTGTAATCCTCCATTGATGACTACAGTTGAGCCCAAAATTTCCATTGCTAAGCAAGCAAGTTTGTTACTGAATTTTGCCCCATTTTGCAACCTTCCTTGCCACAGTTGTTAAGTGAATCACTCAGTTGTTATATTAGTAACCTGGTTGTTAAGCAAATCTGGCTTTCCCAATTGACTTTGCTTGTCAGAAGGTTGCAAAAGGTGATCACATGACCCCGGGGAGCCTGCAACCATCATAAATGTGAACCAGTTGCCAAGCGTCCGAATTTTGATCACGCGTCCACGGGGATGCTGGAACAGTCATAAGTGTGAAAAACAGTCACAAGTCACCTTTTCCAGTGCCATTGTAACTTCAAAGGGTCACTAAATGATGGCTGTAAGTCAAGGACTACCTGTCCTTTTTTGTTTTCACATTGGCACGAGCTGCTGTATTCCTCTGACTTCTTCTGTGTATCCCGTTCTCTTCCGGTTCAGCTGCAGGGCAGTTCAGATTGGAAAACTTCCATCCTGAGTCCCAAAGGGCTCAGAAGCAGATGGTGTTTTTTTTTTTCATTTGAGGAACTCTTGTTGAGTCTCCTGGTCTCTAATTCCACAACTCATCAGTAGATTAAATCTTATGGATGCGTATGATTTGAATTTTGCCATTCAGTTTCTAGTCAAGTTCACATCTTATTAAAAAAATGTCCAGCTTCATTTCTTTTGCTTATGTGAGCAGTCTACTACCCCAGAGGCTTGCCTCATCCCATCCACGTAGCCTCTAGGCTCAAATGAGCCATTGTTCTCCCATCCCACTCACCCAAGCAGAGAGACTACACAGCAATCTCTAGCCATATATGTAGCTGTCTGGAACAGTGCCTGGTTACAGAATGATGGTGCCATTACAGATTTCAGCAGTTTGTGTTTAAATGTAAGAAGAAAGAAAGAAATACTGATGGCCAGGAGCCCTCTTCTTCTTCCTCCTCCTCCCACAAAACACTTGAAAGGAATGACCAGTGATAACCTGTCTGAATAGATTTATTGATTTGATGTTAAATACATTGCTGTTTACTGATGGCGGTGCCTAAGGAATTGCTTCCAAGAGCATAAATTAAAGCACCGAATACACTTAGATTTAGATTGTGTGGGAGTTCTGTTTTTATTAAGTTCTGCCTTTATTGTGTGTGGGGGGGGGAATACTTTTTAAAGACACATGTACATGTATTCTTAGGTGCAAACACCTCTGAAGAATTAATCAAAGATACCAAGAATCATAAATGCATGCATAGGTGCTGGGAAGGTTGAATAGCAAAAATAATAATTATATACAGTTGATAGGATAACGTCTTCACTTGGATTGTTGACATGTTCTCCTTTTCAACATTTGCATTAATCTTTTGTGGGCAAGGAATCAGAGCAGCCTCAGCAGATAGCAATACTTGGTTGACCCTGTCTAGCCTGAGAAGCTAAGCAAGATAGAAACTGGGTCATATTTGATGGGAGCTGCAAGCTGGACTTACATAGATGTACCCATAATATCACCTTGAGATGAATTAAACGTGATGGAAACTCTTAAGCAGACATGTCAAACACAAGGCCCGGGGGCCGGATGCGGCCCGTGAAGTGGTTTCATGTGGCCCGCGAAGCCATCCTGGAAACAGTGAGGGAACGGCCCCCGTTGTCTTGGCCCTGGCCCAGGCCTGCCGGGAGCCAATGTACAATTTTGTGGTGGCCATCTATGCTGAAACACATTCAGTCTTAGCTCCACAAGGCTGTCTAGAAACAGCGAGGAACCAGCTCCTGCCGCATCGGCCCCACTCCCTGGGTGCATGCACCCTTGACGCGAATGATGTAGAGCTGACCACGCCCACCCAGTAGGCCACACCCACTCCATCCACACCCACCCAATAGGCCGCACCCACCCTGGCCACACCCACCCGGCCCCCTGAGGGCAACCGCAATGCTGATGCGGCCCTCAATGAAATTGAGTTTGACACCCCTGCTCTTAAGATAGAGCAGCAATTTGGTCTGATATAATTTTTCTCCCTTCCCCCCATTGCTATCAATATAGCACATGATATTGTTAACTCAAATACTTTAATCTTTCTGTAAGTCCAAAGATGAACGTTATATTTGAACTTTTCTTTGTTTAGTAGAGAAAAAGTTAGAGCACTCAGTAATCCACTCTTTTCTCAAGGGTCCACCAACTGTGGACACAGAGACAGGGAGAATATGAGGTCCACCACAACCTTCATTCATGCCATTCATTGACTATAGTCCAGCTAAAAATGTGTTGCTTTCTTTCACCTGTAGGTTTGTTGATTGGTTCTGGGTGTGCTCTCTATCCTCTGGGCTGGGAAAGTGAAGAAGTCAGACAAGCCTGTGGCGATCTTTCCGACCAGTTTGAACTAGGTGAGTAATCCTAGTCCTATGGAAAATGGCCTTAAGTGAAATGGATTCACAAATGCTCAGAGCGTTCACAAAACAAAACCAGAAAGAGAAAAACACAGAGTTAAGAATGAAAGACGTTAAGAAAGACTCTTCATGTTTTTTAAAGAAATGGAACAGCTGCCCAGCCAAAATCTATACCTATGACTAAAGTAAAGCCACTTCAGAGGCTTATGCCTACATGCTAGTTTAACTGTGGTTTGGTCTTGGCTGTGTTTGCATAACATGCTAAGATATAAATCATCTATAAACTGCAATTATTGGGTTTGCTTAAATTGTAAAGCAATAATAATAATAATATAAGTGGACAAAATTTCCATCTTTTGATTACAAGAGGCCACACAGCGTGGATCTGCACATATAGTCTGCTGACTCATCCTAAGTCCTTGGGGAAAAATTCATTGCATATGAAGGTCAACACCAGCTACAGAGCTGGCAACTGTGATTTCATATTCTTGTGTATATAATTTTAAAAAACCCATTATGGTTTAGACCATAGTGCGAACTGCATCCTTAAGTATATTTTCTTCCCTAATTTCTGCCTGCTCTACTACCTTAAGTCTGTGAGTCCTCTAGACTGTTAACTTTAACTCATGTTGAAATGGTCATCCTAAGTTGAATGTGGGGATGCTACATACAGAAATAAAAAAGGATTGGGTCCCCCAAATCATAGTGAAGTAGAGGAAAAAGTTTCCCCCCCCCCTTTTTTCAGATGGTCCTTGATTCGTGAAGGTATACCCAGGCGCAATCTAGATAAGGAAATAAAATTCATTTAATGCTATATGCCCAGTATAACTGCTCTATGTTGAATCCCACTTGGGGGTTACTTTAACAGAAAGTACAATTCATATATATTTGCCCAGACTTTCTGACAGGGCACTCTAGATGAATGGCAAGTCATCTGGAACATGATCCTGGTTTGCCCCAGTTACTTTGTATAAATAACCAAGAAGCATTAAGTCTGTACAAAATGATGGAGATCTGAAAAAATAAGTGTCAAATGTAGTCTAATGTCCCTTGCTTGTGTGTCTGCCTAGGTGCCTTCCTTTTATGGTTTTAAAAACCATGGATAATCACATTTCACATGCTGCTGGCAGCTTCCCGAATGAAAGGCAGAATATAAATTTAACAAACAAACAAAACAATGAAGGCTAATTTATTCTGTATATAGCAGTTGTCTGGCTTAGTGCCTGAATTCAAAAACCTTTGACTGTTACCTAGAGCATCTGGTTTCAATTATTTAAAGTAGGCTTTTTCAAATATTTTTCTCATATATCTGAATATTTATATCTCTTCTGCATTTCCCATTCTCCAGAATTTCCAGTCATTGACAAATTGATATATGCAGTATTCATTGAAAGGAAAATTACCTTGAGTCACCTACCCCTAAAAGGAAGACTAGAAAGAAAGAAAAAAATTAATTACCCTCAGATTTGCTAATCTAAGACAGCTTTTCTATTTTTATAATGTCAAAACTATTCAGGAGTGAAAAATTATTTCTCCAAATTACTAAAATATTCCTAGGAAATGAAGTAGATTGATGATTAAATACACATGTTATTAATGTAAATGTGTTTAGTAGGGCATGTATTTCTCAGAAGCCGTTACTGAGAGTCTGGGCTACACCACCATTTCAAACCAACAACATCGTCACTTTCTCTAAATCCTTTAATTCAACATCACATACATCTAGGTCGGTATTCATTGCTTCTTCCTCTTCTCCATCTTTTATTGTTGCCTTTGCAAAGCTGGGCACTTTCCTGCACTTTGCCCAGTTTAAGAACATTTTTCCTACCTACTTAACAGCTCTTCTCAGCATTAGTGAGCAAAACAGTCTGATGATTCATTTCAAAGGTTAGCCTTAGTCCAGGGGTAGGCAACCTTGGCTCTTTTATGACTCGTGGACTTCAACTCCCAGAATTCCTGAGCCAGCCATGCTGAGGGGAAAGGGAGAGGTTTCCAAGCTGAGCCATGCTGGCTCAGGAATTCTGGGAGTGGAAGTCCACGAGTCATAAAAGAGCCAAGGTTGCCTACCCCTGGCCTAGTCTGAATAAGGAACCAGGTGCCTTTGGAAATCTCACTAGTGGCCAACACAAGCAACTGTACCCTCCCATCCCATAGGCATTTATGTCCAAGTACGGGAATGAAAATTGTTCAGGTTCTCCCTGTGTCATTTGCCTTATTGCCTTTAGAGGAAGCTTACATCAGTCCAGATTAAGTAATGAATTCAGCAAACTAAACTAGGTTTATGGGCAGATATCTGGGCACAGTTTTTGAATATAAAAGGAGTTTTTAATCCCTAAAAACTCGAATGAGTGCCTATTTTTATACAACCTTCCAAACCCCTAGGCCAGTGGTGGCGAACCTATGGCACGCGTGCCAGAGGCGGCACTCAGAGCCCTCTCTGTGGGCACACATGCCATGCCCGAGATGGTGAGGGATTGGCCCCCGCCGCCCTGGCCCTGCCCACCTACTCTGCCATGACCACTGCGGCCACGCCCACCTGGCACCCAGTGATAAATAAGTGGGTTTTGGGTTAAATACGGCATCAAAATACTGCTATTATTCCAGTGATGGTGGTGGTGGGGAGAGTGAGAAAAAGAAGACCACACTTGCAATAACACTTGTCTCTGTTTGTGTCTTTTGTCTCCCCTGTAGGCACCTGTGAGATTGGCTGGGCTTACTATTGCACAGGAGGAGGAGCTGCAGGGGCAATGTTGATATGCACTTGGCTGGCCTGTTTCTCTGGCAAGAAACAAAAACAATATCCTTATTAAAGCCAGAAACGAAACAGAACAAAACAAACCAGTTTTGGGGATGGGGGCGGGGGCGGGGGCACAGTTCACGTGTGTTTTCTTGAGAGGATGCATTAACTCTTTATTGTAGCCAGATAAATGCAAACGAGAGAGTCAGTGAAGTTGGAATTGATGTTGTGATACTGTGAATAGGAAGGAGGCTCTCTGGGTCTTAAGAATCTCAGGCTGAGAATCTTAAGGAGGCTAGGTTCTAACTGTATTCTTCCTAGCCGCTGATGGGCATCGTCCAACCACATGAAGTATCCCCTCATGAAGAGTGAGGAGAAGCAATGGGATTTTAGCACACAAAAGAGTTAAAAAAACGTTGTCTTCAAACACAAGGGATTGGGCCTTAGAAAAGTTTCTCAGCAAATATATTTGAGAGGAAAGGAAGCGTTTCTTCCCCCCCCTTTGTAACCTGCTTGTACTGTGAGCAAGTGCCAATTTTCTTAGAAGTGTGGCTATCACTTGCGTATCTATAGGGGAGACCTGTTTTTAGGCCTTAACGCAGTTTGCCTTTAAGGGCATCACAGGCTGGCCCCTTGGCAGAGTATGATTTAAAAAAAATAATAATCTGAAGTAGTCAGGGGCCTTCTTTGTGAGACTTTTTGAAAGCACAGCTTCCTGCATTTGCACAGACACTTTTCCCTCAAGCATACACAACAAATGTTAGCCTCATGGATCAGGTTTTCTTAAAAAAAAAATGTACAGCCTTCAGGTATTTGACCAATCTGCCTGTATATGTGTGTGCGTGGGTGTGTAAAACAAAGTAGTAAATTGCTGTGGCAGTTACTGTTACTCAGGCAAATTTCTAAAGCCAATATAAATCTTGTCACCTCTGCCTAAAAGCACAGAAATCCACTCCAGACGCTTCTTTGTCTTCACCTAAGCATGTTACCACCTCATCGTTTCATTTATAGATTACACACACATTTGGCCAAACTACCTATTTTATAAAAGCCTGGGTAGGTGAAATACACCTGCTTTTTCAAATGAAAAGAAAAACTGATTTTAATGGATAGTTGGAAACAGTAAGTTGGTGGGTGTAGAATGAATTGAAGACCACACGAACATATTCTTCAGCTTCCAAATGCCTCCTCGAGGCAGATTTTCACATCAGAAATATATGTCATATCACGCACCTATAGCTTGAAGTGTGATCAGCCCTTTTTTTCATACTATTGTACACATTCAAAAGACTTTTCATCCAAATGTACAAAGCCACATACGTCGTTCCAATGTATCTTTCCTTGAACTTCCTTTCCCTATATACATTTAAAATATTTATTAAGATTTTTTTAAAATAGATTTAAAGACAAATTTAAAAAAGGAAAGAAATGCAAGAGAAAAAAGGAGGGGAAAAACTAAATTTAAAGAATATGTGAATGATTTCCGACTTTCTTTTCAACAGATAATTATAATCTTAATATCCTTCCTCCCTCTTATATACTATACGAATCTTCAGCTCCTTATTTAATCTATGTCTTTTTTAATCTTCACCAATATATTTTCTCTTGAACTTCCATTTTTATCTACGATCAAGCATACACACTCTATGCCTTTTTCTTAAGCATAGTACACACAAATCTCCCTCATCAGGAAATTAAAACAAGACAAAGGGAACATTTCCCCTCCATTCCAAGCTTTCCCTCTTCCCCTTCCCCCGGAGAGAATTAACATATGGTATAAATATGTCCTTTTCTCCTCTCTTTCCTTCATATATTCATTGGGAAGGACAGCAGGGAAAGTGCCACTACCTCTGGGGCTGCTCATAACTCTCATGTGAAGGGAAGGGTTGCACAATCGCACTGCAATGCGAAATCTGTTTTACGTGGACGGAGCACACCTATTTCGGTGATGCACAAGGCCACAAAGGTCAGGTCGCCACTTTCACTGGGCCAGTTTGATTTCTTTGCAACCACTACATTCTCTGCATATCTTATCATTGCCAAGGGATGCAAAGGCTGCAACCGGAATGTTCCAACCCAAATATTTCAGAAGGGATCGGATCTGCAAACAGCCAGTATCTGAGTTGGAACATTCAGGGGCAAAAGGCTTTGCCTCTCCCACTCTACTGCATTATGGGGAAAGATCCCTTAATACCAGTACTGTGGAATAAAGCAATTGCAATAAGTACTCTGTGCACTTAGTTTGGGTTTTTGTGTGTGTGTGTGTGTGTGTGTGTGCGCGCGTGTGTGATAAATTCGAATTTCAGTATTATGCCACATTTTAAACAAACAACTCTAATGGACTTACGGGCCATTTTTTTTCCAGTATTTTATATAGTGTAGATGTGATCTCAAGTTTTATTGTCGTTTTCGGAACTGTATCAATTTTATTAATCTCAACATTTGCAATGTTATTAAAAATGCAATATTATACTCAGCATATGTAGCCTTTTAGATAAGAGTATTCCTACAAAGGGACACTTCTGTCCAGTGACACTAATGTGTATGGCACAGTAGAATATTACTACTTATGCAAGAGCAATGAAAAGCATCTTCCAGGTTTTATTACTAATGCTGTTAGTAACTATTGTTGTATTGTGCTGTATTGTTTATTTTAATATTCATTTTTATAATGCAATATAAAATGTACTATTTTGTTAGTACTTTAGAATCTGTATAAATAAATGTCTTCTTCAACTGTACATTTCCCTCCCTTCCCCCATACAATCAAACATTTGGCTTAGTCCTAAACCTAAGAAATGCTAACTGCCTAGGGTTTAATCTTTCCTTGTGTTGATCATAGGAGCAAGATATTTGCAAACATGATGCCACATGCTGGAACAGAACTCAACAGAATAAGGGGGAAATTGGGGGCTTGCTTCCTTTTACAAAAATGGGATGGGTTAAAAGGTCCCAGCCACTTATACCTTCTAATGCAGGGCTTTTCAACCAGTGGTACGGGTACCACCTGTGGTACATTGCCACCTGGCAGGTGGTACGCCACCATCCTAGAAAAGTGGTAGCGGGGGAGGGGAATGAGCTGAACTGGTGGCAGCACTGCACAAGCCTGAGCGAGAGATGGCTGGAGCTGCAGGGCTGTCAGGGCTCAGCGGAAGCGCCAGGATCAGCACCAGACTCCAGCTGGAGCTCGGCGCTGATCCTGGTGCTTCTGCTGAGCCCTGAAGAAGCACCAATCAGCTGGAAAGCAGCACTGATCCTGGCGCTTCTGCTGAGCCCAGAAGAAGCGCCGATCAGCTGGAATGTTGCAACCTCTCCAGGGTCTTGTGATTTACATTCAGATGCTTGGCAACTGATTCATATTTATGACGGTCACAGTGTCCCAGGGTCATGTGAAGTGACCAAACCCTGCTGCAACCACCCAGCAGACGGGGGGAAAAAAAACATCCCCCCCCACATCTGCTGCCAATCCTCAACAGAAATGCTCACAACAATGAAAACCTTGGACAGGAGGAAGAGTGCTGCCGGGTGGGCAGGCAGGTGTCTTGCTCGGCTGTGGCTTGGGGGGCACTTTTTTCAGTGCCATTGTAACTTCGAACAGTCACTAAGCAAACTGTTGTAAGTCGAGGACTACCTGTACTTTTATCACGTTTTTCCTTTTTTTGGGGGGGGTTCATCAAGTTTTTGACACCTTGCTAGGCGACTGGTGGTACTCGGATGTTGCCATATCCTAAAAGTGGTACAATGGGTGAAAAGGTTGAAAAGCCCTGTTCTAATGCAAAGCTGCCTGGCTCCTCTGCTAGCAGAGAAGAGGTACCAGCAGTAGACCTTGTCTCTGTATGTGGAATCAAGTTCCAGAACGGTCATAAAAGGGGAGTTGTATCCTGTACAGCTGCCATTGTATATGGAATATCTTTGGGCCCTGAACCCATAGCTCTTTTAGCTGTAGGGCCTGAAATATCAGAATATATGTGAATATATTGGAAAGAGTATACTAGAAAGGGGAATTATTCCAGTGACCAGAGCAACTTTCATTAAAATATTATGAAAATGTTCCAGAATTAAGGTAACAGATATTTCTCATGCAGAGGTCAATTCCCAGTGAGCAGGAGCTCCACGCTGGACTTTTATTCGGGGATGGTGTTATAATATAGACATGATTTGCCATTGCCTCCTAGGATTCTTTTAGCTTACAATCCTGCGATTTCAGGTTCAGAGCAACGTAGGTCAAAGTTGTTAATATCCTAATATCTTGCAGGAATTTTTGGAGCACAGATGCAAAGTTCAGAGGAACGATGTTAGTCAATCTGATAGACTGATTATGTGTCATCGGATCTTTGATTCCTAGCAACCACATCACAACATAGATGCATCTCAACATTTGAATATCGTTTCCAAAGCCTTTGTGGCCGCTCTACGGAATTCCAATCTGCAGCATTTTTCTTGACTGGCTTATTCCTTTACTAAAAGGCAGAGGCTATCCACTATTTTGGTATCTTTACTGTCAATTCTAAAGTGGTTGTTCTACCCGCTGTCCTTAAGTTGGTCTTCTTTACATTTAATTTTATGTTAGTCACAATTTTTTATATATATAATGCTGTGTTTAACGTATTTATAACATGTCAATATCCAAAACAATGCTTTTCTGTGCAGATTATAAATTGCTGTTAGTTTTGCTCTGCTTAAAAAATAACGAATACATTCATTATTCAGAAAAAGTTTCTTTAAAAGATAAGAATCATGACAATAATGAGTATAAAACAAGGCAACTAAAATATATGAAATTGGTTTGGTAGGCTGAACAATCACAACATACCATATTTTTAAAAATATTCATTTGAGAATACTACACCAAAATATAACAGGAAAACGGATCAGCAACTGAAAGAATGCTTTGAATAGGGGCTGTGCATAGAAAAGCCTTCAGTGGACAGGGACTGCCACTGGACCACGCTCCGCTAATGCTGAAGTGCAGTCGTGTTTTTCAAAGATCTTATCTGCTTATGGAGCAGGAGTTGTTCCCTCAGATACCGGTAACTGCAATACCCTTCCTTCCTCCATTCCTCCCTCCCTCCCTCCCTCCCTCCTTTCCATCCATCCATCCATCCATCCATCCATCCAATATGCTGTTGTCTCCCATTGACTGTAAACAAATTTAAGGCTGGGTGATGAAACCACTGCAAGCACATAATTCTGATTATATTAAAAGAATGAACAGAAAAAACTCTTGGAATTTTATTACAAGAGAAATAATTTATACGAAAAACCAATTAAAACATGGTCCGTAAAACTTGGCTAAAATAATGAAAGACAAACAAACCCTGAGATAAATGCATAGAATGCATCATTAGTTATTTCAAGTATTGCACAACTAGAGAGAGCAGGCAATCCAGTAGAGCAGAATCCCTCAGCCAGCTACTGTCTGTTCCTATGTCAGACAGAGAAGAGTATAAGAGCCGCAGCCCACCCCATCTGGTTGTGCTTGTATGGCCTGAAAGATGCCATTAGTCCAAAGGTACATATTTCTGTACTTGTTCAGCTCCAATTTCTGCCACATAAATGGCTCCAGTACTTAAGCTGACATCCAGAAGATGAGGCTTGACTTCTTTTGCAAGCTGGATTGTGTCCACCACAATGCAATCCCCAATTAATCCTACTGGTGGGGCAGCCAAAATAGAAATCTTATTAATATTTAGGTGGGCCACAATTATATGCTGCTGATCAGGAGTAAATCTGTAAGTGGAAGGGGGGAAAAAAAGGAAACTTTTTTTTAAAGAAAGGAAACACTGAATCTTAAAGATCTCATTCTGTGAGCAATATGCATTTCTGTTGGATCTGAGGCAAGGCTGCTGCCTCTATAGACACCAACGTTGCCTGAAATGCTGTCCTAAGAGCTTTTTGAAAATCCTAGTAAATCCTACTGTTGGGATTCAGTATTTTGGAGCCAATTTTCAATAGGAATGTTTGGTACAAATAGAGAAAAGTGACAGGTGCCCTTCAATAATAAAAAAACATACTGCAGTTCTTTGGACACAAATTTCAATATTCGGAGGTATTATCTGAATATATGAAATATGGGTATTTTTGCATTTTTTTAAAAAAAATATCAATACTACTAAGAAAGTGGGGTCCACAGACTAGTGCTGGTCTGCAAACTGTTACTGGCCCATGACAAGATACAATCCTTCCATACAGTTCCAAAATAATGTGATATTATTCCACATGAAACGGTATGCCAATAAAGCAGGGGTAGGCAACCTTGGCTCTTTTATGACTCGTGGACTTCAACTCCCAGAATTCCCGAGCCAGCCATGCTGAGGGGAAAGGGAGAGGTTTCCAAGCTCAGCCATGCTGGCTCAGGAATTCTGGGAGTTGAAGTCCACGAGTCATAAAAGAGCCAACGTTGCCTACCCCTGCAATAAAAGAATGCATCAAATCCCAGTTTAATCCTCTTTGCTGCAAGTATACATTTAAATAGAATGGAAATTATTCAAATTGCCTATGATCCAAAAAAGGGTGTGGGGTTTCTCCCTTAAGGAAACAATTTTCATCTACATCGTACCCTTCCTAGAGCTCAACATTCCCCTTCTAGCAACATAAAACATGCTGTGGGGAGGAGTGTGTGTGAAGCAAACACAAATATTGTCTCCCATTCTAGCTCGTTTCTAACTCCACTTGGTGAATACTTGGATCCCACCCAAATGCCATTTTAAAATATCAGGCAGTTTAACGGTATCTTCCAGAAAAGTGAAACTGAGCTTTTTAAGGTCCGAGTCACAGAAAAAATGCCAGGGTTACCAGTCACTGGCAGATCACTTCCAAAAAGTATACTGGTTATGAAAAATTTATAATGAAGGTGATCGCATTTCAGAATTAGGGAGATGTGAATTTTTAGTGAACCCTCTAGTGCAGGGGTAGGCAACCTTGGCTCTTTTATGACTTGTGGACTTCAACTCCCAGAATTCCTGAGCCAGCGTGGCTCAGCTTGGAAACCTCTCCCTTTCCCCTCAGCATGGCTGGCTCGGGAATTCTGGGAGTTGAAGTCCACGAGTCATAAAAGAGCCAAGGTTGCCTACGCCTGCTCTAGTGCATTCAGAGAACTACATAACTCTTATTTGGCTCTATCCTAGGAACTGAAGCCTTCATCAGAAATCCTATGTACAAATGGATTCTTGTTCAACTGTAATTAGTTGAAAAGTTTTCTATCCAATGGACACGCTGACATACATACACACAGATACTATACCTTACAGAGTAAGGGCCATCTTCTGTGAAGCAGTTATCCCAAGATCCTAACCATTCCCCAGTGCTCTTTTCAAAAACTTGGATTCTCCAGTTGGCTCTATCTGCAACCCAGACCTGGTACAAACAAAGACACCATTTTAAGCACTGAGGAAGAAATACACACAAAAAAAATCTAACTTGAATGGATGGCTCTCTAAATTAATAACCAGCATCTCAATACTTTATGTCAGATTATGAACCAAATCTTTATATTCAAGCAATATGTATAACTCTTTCATCCATCCAAATGGTTTGAATAGCCATCAAGACAATTGTTCAACAGTTACTTTTAAGGGCATTGGGAGTGGAGGTAAGGCTGGGGATTAAAAAAAAGACAAGTTGGGAAACCGCACTAGTGAAACCCCATTCCTTTTGTATGCGTGTTATCTTGTGCACATACAAAGTGCTGAGACAATAAAACCTAAATGGTTAGCTCAGCCAACAGTGTCCTCATCAATGTGGTCAGTAGTACTCTAATGTTTTATGCTATTATGTCAAAATTATCACTGCTCCTTACCCGCCCAACCGAATCCACAGTTACACTGTGTGGAATCCTGAACTGTGTAGGAGCAGTACCGTTTTCTCCACGTAGCCATAGAATCTTTAAGTCTGTGAGTAAAAAGGTGTTGATCAAACATTATTTCCTGCAATGAGTTTACAACAAAATATCAGAATTAAAACAAAAGCAGGAGTAGAGAACCCACAGTCCAGGAGTATGTATGGACCTTTTGTAGGACTAATTCATAAACCTCGTCATATTGAAAAAATGTAAAAATGAGTGCAATCAGACACTTTGAGACTTTTAACTCGATTTTCACTTTAAAAACTATCAAACTGCTTTTGAAAAAGAAAACAAAAAGATCAAACATTTTTGCCCACATCTGCAACCAAAAAGATTGCCTCGCAATTTAAAGGAGTTTAACATACTGTAAGGCACAGCCATGCTATTCTATCACAACAGGTCTGCCTGAGGAAAACTGAAGAGGGCCTAACATCAGGAAAAACAAAGCAGGCATATCTGTGTCATAGAACTTCAGAAAATACCATGTTGTATTTCACCAATATGCATTAAATGATATAATCTAGCTTTTCCATTGCAGAATACATTCGGATTTCAGTTTCTGACTATTAATATAATATCTGTTTTCATTCTGCAAAATCATGCTGTTTAAGATATGTTTAAGATCTTAAGGTATCATCAGAATATTATTGAAAAAGTATTAGAAAAAGTATTAGTATCTTATAAAAAGATACGGTACCAGTAAATTTGCAGCATTAAAGGTGCAGCATATTGGTGGCTTATGTCTGCAGATCATAATCTACGAGTCACCAAGAATTGATGCACGTGGGAGAAGACACCATTTTCTCATTTAGAATCTCATAATCTCTGTAAATGTGTTACAGCAAGTGGCTGCACCTCCCAAACCTTGGCTAATCTCAAAAAAGCTAAACAGGCTTGAACCTGGTTAATGCTTGAATGAGAGACTACCTGGAAGCCCCGTCATTGTAGGCTAGACTGTAAAGTTTAAAAATAATATTCCCAAAAGAAGACAATGTCAGCATATTGTTGCCCAGAAAACCAGACGTTCATGTGGTCAACAGCTAATGCCGATTGCATCAAACCCAAACCACTTAACCACTCTTAATGTGTTCTGTTATCATAGAAAAAGCCACTCATGCAGCTTCCCAGTCTTACGTCCTCCAGATATGAATTTCATATTCTGTAAGTTGCAGTCCAATCGACACATGAAGTTAGGAAATGGTACATCGGCTCATTAGAAATAAAAGCTGGCATCAACATTTTAAACCTACATTTGCTTACCTTCGGTCAATTTGAGCAAGCGGTTATTTAGTCCTCCATCACCATCCACAATGTAAATATTTCCTGTTGATTCCACAAAAACCTCTGCTGGCTGGTCAAACTGTAGCGGGTTTGTATCGGAACCTGCTGTACCTGGGGTACCTATGACTCGAAGTAGTTCACCTAAAGGGCTGTACTGTTTCACTGTATGTCCATATTTTCCTGCATCGGGAAGAAGTTGACACTTTCCAACAAGGTCACAAGTTTCAGTCTGACAGATAAAATAATAATTAACTCCCTGCCAGAGGCAAACTGGTAGAACTTCTTGATTCTAAGTACAGGCAGTCCTTGACTTATAACCGTTCCTTTAGTGACCGTTCAAAGTTACAATGTCACTGAAAACAGTGACTTGTGACCATTTTTCACACTTACGACCCTAGCAGCATCCCCACGGTCATGTCATCAAAATTCAGACACTTGGCAAAACCGGCTCATATTTATGACGGTTGCAATGTCCCGGGGTTACGTGATCCCCTTTTGCGACCTTCTGACAAGCAAAGTCAATGGGGATGCCAGATTCACTTAACAACAGTGTTGCTAGCTTAACCACTGCAGTGATTCACATAACAATTGTGACAAGAAAGGGTATAAAATGGGGCCAAACACACTTAATAAAACTGTCTTGTTTAGTAACAGAAAAATTGGGCTCAATTGCAGTCGTAAGTCGAAGGCTACCGTACAGAGACTTTCTGCTCTGCATCACAGACAGCTGTTCATGACGAACCCTTGTTCCTATTCTTTCTCTCACTATTCCTTGATTAGCCTCTCCCACTCTTCTTCATTCTCCCGAAACTTTGAATAAATAACAAGATCTGCAGAGGTGTGAAAAGAGTGTGGCCAAATCTCCATTCAAGAATAGGGTGGCAAGCTGCAGATATCCCAAATAACCGAATTTTAATTAAACAATGCTACCCTATTTCAAAGCGGATTTTTTGGGGGGTCAGGCATAAAAAAATGAATCAGGTTGCAGTCATGTCAGATGTAGTGTCCTGCCGGGGAAGACACTGAAAATGGTCGGCCACCGTGCCACGTGCCTTTTGTTCTTGCCCTGCCCAAAGCCTTCAATGCTACTTATCCATTCACAATCCCCTTTCTTCCAGTTCTGATGGGGACAAATGCTTTACTAAAATGGGAATGCAGCCAGCAGCCACTTGCACTGCGTGCTTTGCATGAGCTGTATTGTAGCCAAACGGCACACTCATTTGGGCATTACCTGCAGAACCTTTCACAAAATGTGCGAGATTCTGGGGCTTGCAGGGATGTGCCATCACCTCTTCTCATTCGCAGAATTTCAAAAAGCATACCAGGTGCTGATGCTGACTCCCATTAGTATCCCTGCCATATTTTTCTATCACTGAAAAACCCATTATGGAGATGAAATAGATACATCAATCAATTTTGACTACTATGACTAGAAACCTTCTTTGTGGAAGCATGCTCGGCTTGCTATCACTCACAGGAAAAGAACATTATCCCCTTTTATCGGAGAAAGGAGGGATAATGGCTTAAGAACATAAAAGAAAATCTTTAAGAAACAAACTAAGGGGGTTAGAAGAAGGCCAGCCTGAATCAGAAGTAAGCTACCTAACCAACTGTTGACTTTTGAAGACAGTCATTCTAGACCAGGGGTAGGCAACCTCGGCTCTTTTATGACTCATGGACTTCAACTCCCAGAATTCCCAAGTCAGCACAGCTGACTCGGGAATTCTGGGAGTTGAAGTCCATGAGTCATAAAAGAACCGAGGTTGCCTACCCCTGGTCTAGACTGATTATTGGTTGTACTCAGTGGTAGGATTCAGCCAGTTCGCACCAGTTCGGCAGAACTGATAGCTAATTTTTTGTTGCCCAGGCCCAGAATGGACTTCCAGAAATGGCATCCACACAGAGAACCGGTGGTTCACATATTTGAACCCCACCCCTGGTTGTACTTCTATATGCTGAGATTTTAATGGTGACAGAGAGGTTCTCATTACTCATGCTTTTTAAATTAAAGATTGGTATGATGTCTTCAAATGTTTTTCAGATTTTGTTGCCATTGTCCACACTCACTTGGACTTATGGGATTTGAAAACTGAAATATCTGATGAGTACCAGACTGATATATGTTTATTGTAAATATATATATATATATGATCTATCTGTTTAATCTTGGATTCGAATTTTTTGAGGGGAAGGGCAGCATCTCAACTTAAATTCAATCCAAAATAGACTTCAGTTGCAAAACGTAAGACACACAACAGCATTCTTTTTCCTTGTTAAAGAACAATTTTTCTACGCACCATTTCCTATATCCGTGATCCACACAGAGCTTCCATTGGATGTGCTCAGGGCAAAGATTCCGTGGGGCATCTCAATGGTGGTTGTTTTCCATGTTTGTACAAGATAGCCTTCCTCAGAGTATACTGAGACCTTTGGCACATCATCATTACCTCTCTTAACAAAAAAAGAGAATCAGAGAGGTATGGCAGACAGAAAAACCTAAACATTTTTTCATTACAGCTCTTTATACAGTAAATAGCCTTAAACATTATCATACTGCAACTCCAAAGATCTTGACCAAGTATAGGTACTCCAAAAAGCAAAGAAGAAAAGGAAATATATTTAATAACTACTAGTTAATTCGTCTCTCTCAGGTTTCAGAGTGCGCCAGCACAGCTATGTAAAAGGTAAGTAACTGGTGGGTCCAAGGAGACCACAGAAACCAATGTTGCCGGAAAAGCCGACGTAGCAGTACAATAGAGGACACCCATCATTTTGTGTGCTGATCGAGAAAATTATTATGGCTGTTTTGAGAAAATTAATCCACCCTCCCCTAGCCCAAGCATCCTTCAATTATGCAGACATTAACTTTCAGAATTTTCAACCATTGCCAGGTTGGCTGGGAAATTCTGCATTTGGAATGCCAAATGTGAGAAAGGCACCCAAGTATTTAGCACAAGGCATTGTTGTCAAAAGACACAGAACAGTACTTTCAGAAAGCTTTACAGCAGCTCAAGAGGACAATGGTCTTTTCCCTCTTACTTGTTCTCAGCAACATTTGAGATTCAGGTACCTAACATGAAGGTTCCAGTAAATCCAAATTTAATCTATTTCTTTCGCTATTCAGTGAGAAGCCTTTTCTGAAGGACAAACAGGATGTAACTAAACCACAAGTCCAAAAAAATAATCCAATATTCCAAAAGAGCTATAAAAACAAGAGAAATACTATACGTACAACATTTAACAACAGAGGGTACCAAATTAACTTTTGCAGAACTAAAACAGGGTAAAATAAAAGCACAGTTAAAAAAAAAAAAGTTAAAGTATCATGATATATTTTAAAAGATCCACTTATTTTTAAGTCCTGTACTTGGGTTAAAATACCTCAAACTTGGCACCATGCAAACATGCCATTTATGGATATTTCATAAACAGAGAGCAGAGATCAGACTATTTCCAACCAGTACTGCTTTATTTATTCATTCCTCAGTCTGTCACATTACTGCCACATAAATGCACTTTTTTAATGCTTTGGAGTTATTGTTGACTCCTGGTGATCGACTGGACTAAAACCTATAGTTTTCTTGGCAAGATTTTGGAAGTGACTGGTCACTGCCTGCTTCTTAGGAATAAAAGAGTGATTGGTCCAAGGTCGTCTGGCTGGCTCTGTGCCCAAGGCAGAACTAGACTCATGGTCTCCTGTCCAGCGTCTTAACCACTACACCAACTTGGCTTTCTTTTTAAAATATCCACATAAAAATGAAACACATTTCAGCCTGTGTTTTTTTTTTTTAAATCACAAAGTATGCTAATGCAGAGGTCTCCAACCTTTTGGGCACCAGGGACCGGTTCCGCAGAGGAAGGTTTTTCCACGGACCGGAGACTGTGTGGTTTTGTGTGCTGCCTGTATCCCATAGATGGGGCTTTGCTTGTTTGTGCGGCCCGTTTGTTGGCATGCCGCGGCCCGGTACTGGTCTATGGACCGGGGGTTGGGGAACCCTGTGCTAATGTATTTTAGCTTAATAAATGGATAGGCACTTCTCCCAAACTGAGAATTTTGTTATACAATACAGAGATACGAGCAAAATGAAGGGCATTGCATCCCAACTTACACATCAGCCTGGTTGGTGCTGCTGATCATATTGCTTTAGATTCTGAATGCAGAAAGCCTGAACTTCCCGCGAGCATTCCTGACAGAGGATGGTGACAAAAAAAGCCCTGGCTCTCCTAGCCACAAGCCATACTCTAAGAATGGTTCAATGGGTAGATGTGGGGGGCTTCCAAGTACAAAGCCCCCAAACCAGGAAGTACTTTAAAGATTGCAGCCAGTAATTTTTAATTGCCTCAAGTAATTCACCAGGAATCCTAGAATACTGGCTTAGTACATATATAATGCTGGATTTTGTTGCAACTGTTGTACTAAACTGCAAATTCCTTGACTATTTTCAAAAAGGCAGCTCTACATATGTCTCTAGTTGACAGTCACAAAGTATTTCCTGAAGCAAAAAGGCAGCCACTGCTGTTTCTGCCACGCTGGTATAATCTGTTAAAGCTACAGCTGGGAAACAGATCACGTTTTCCAGCAGTTCATCAGGGACACAGAAGTCCAGTTGTCTGGCCTTCAATTTTCTTTATATCAATCTGTCTTACCCTGGCCGTCTTTCAGTAGTTTGGGAATTCAGGCTTATTTTAATTTTTTACAGTCATTTTATTAAAGGTTGTAATTACAACAGTGGGAATTCAGATTAATTACAACGCTTAAAATTTCAGAAGTTACACATTTCAGGTTTTAAAGAGCTTTAGGCTTCTGATCTTTAAATGCTGCAATTATACAACGCCCCTATCAAAGTTTAATCGTTTTTAGCCATTGCAGGTTGAAAAGTATGAGCACACCATGATTTAAAAATACATGTAGACTGCAATGTACTTATTGTTATATTTATGTAAGAAAACTAGACATTAAGACGGACTACTTGAGGCTGTCCCTATAAAGAGACTGAGCAAACAGTACAGAAGAAGCTGGTTCACTATTCTAGCATTAGATTTTTAAGCTACTAACAAAATATACAATAAACTTTAAAACAGCATGTACACTTATGCAAGGTTTATAAAGTCACATGAAATGGATGACTATATACCTTAAAGAAACAATCAGATTCCTCTTGGGTAACATATTGAAAAAAAATGGAATTTACATTAAGTACAGATGTGTTCACACAATATGCTAAAGATTGTTGATCACAGTAAGAAATTTAGTCAATGAACATGTACAAAAGCCAAATATGGCATGCCATGCTTTACCAGTCTTAAATCAGAATTTCTGCATTTTTATGCTGGTTGAATGACCAGCCTTCCTGATTTATTTTCATTTATTTTTCAAACTACAAGCTCGTATTAATCCAACTGGGACTTGTAGCACAGCATATATAACAAGGGAAGGGTAACTCACCCATTCCTCTGTGCCCCTAATTCAATCCATATTTATGTAGGATTAGCTCCAATTTATTCCTTCTACCCTGCACCATTTCTTAGAAGTCCAAAGTCTATATGCTAGCATATGCTTCAGATGACAGATTGGACCATCACTGAATAAACTAATAAATACAAAGTCATGATTTCAGAGCATGATCAACGTGTCTTATGGCCTGGATTCAAGTAGTATTTTAGGCCAATTCACAATATGTTATGCAAACCAGAGACTTCAAAGAAAAAGTGTGAGAAAACTCTGCACATTTGAGCAAAGTACTATCAGATGCTGAAATAGGAGAATCTGGATGCAATCTGAAAGAAAACTGCCAAAATAAAAACACAGTCACATCTCTGGAATTATAAAATCTAACATTTACTTGAAAGTATCTCCGTTTTTCAGTGAAAACCATAGTTTGATAGACAATAGACAATAATGTGAAGTTATTGAAACAGGTTAGATATTAATAAGGCTGGGAATAATTTTTGATATTGTAATAAGGAACCCCCAGACATCAGAAGCCAAATAAAGGGCTTTACATAGAATTGGAAGAATAAATATTTTAGATAATCTCAGATGTCCCATTGTCCTACTGAACTGCTAATTTCAAGTACATCTTTTTTGTGTGCGATTTGGAAGAACTATAGGAAAAAGGCATGCAATTTTTTTAAATGTAATGTTTTTTTAACTATGAAACTGCCCAGGGTCATTTTGGAACTGAGCAGATTGGAAATATAATAAAGAAATAATTAATCAACCCAATTAGAACATTACTAAGCCAAATCAAGATAAAGTTACAATGTGTAAGCTTTGAAGATGGTAAACCAAACCAAAAAGTGTAAATGAAAAAAAAAGCAATTTATGATCAAGTGATAAATCTGCACTTAATTAGCTTTTTTCTAAAATAAAAAGTGAAATAACTTGAAGGAGCAGCAGAACCATTATAGGATTACAACACTTTATTATTCATCTTCTTAATATAATAACTACAACTTGGGCAACTGTTGTTACTCCTTAAACAGTTTGATCTTGTTGTTTCTTACCTGTCCCACGTAGACTAATCCCTGGAGATGATCAACAGCAACACAATATGTTTGACCAATAAATTCTTCTGGAAACTTTGGCCACTCTAGATCAAGCTTGTAGAGTGGTTTCTGTATCTGCCACAACGAATAAGTAGTCCATTGATTTAACACCTTCCAAATCAAACACAAAAACAATAGTTAAATGGTGGTCAGATTTACTGTGAAGCATCGTTCCAGTCACTAGTACAGCAATGGCGAACCTTTTAGAGACTGAGTGCCCAAACTGCAACCCAAAACCCACTTATGCATCGTTGAGTGCTGGGTGGGTGTGGCCCATTGGCTGGGTGTGGCCAATTGGGTGGGCGTGGCCAATTGGGTGGGCATGGCTGCAGTGGTAATGGCAGACTGGGTGGGACTAAAAACTTCAATCAATCAATTCCAACTTTGCAAGAACTTTTTTTTTCCCCGCGAGAAGTTGAAATTGACTGATTGAACCTTTTTTTTTTTTGCACATGGCAGCGGAGGCCTAAAGCGAAAAGGTTTTATAAAACCCAGCTGAAGGCCTAGGACTGGGATGACGACGCGCATGCCCACAGAGAGGGCTCTGAGTGCCTCCTCTGGCACCCGTGCCATAGGTTCGCCACCACTGCACTAGTAAATGGACCTATCCAGAAAGGGATAACTCCACCTCTCTGTGAGATTTATATGCTGCATTATCTTCTCTTTTTTCCAACAACAATCCAGTGAGGTAGATTAGGCTGAGAGAGAATTAAAAGACAAATGTTTAGGTCCAGCTTGAGGGAACCCTCCTCCTTCAATCATATGTATTAATTTAGCTGAGGAAAAAAAAACACCCTTTAAACAACTTTATTAATTTGCAAACAAAAAAAAACCTTCAAAGCATTTTCAAGCAGCTTTACCCAGACAAGGGTTAGGATTAAGTAAGTATTGTTTCCTTCTCAGCTGAGTTCAATTCCTTCTCTCCAGATAGACACATGCATATAGGTAGTCCTCAACTTATGACAACAATTGAACCCAAAATTTCTGTTCCTAAGCAAGACAGTTGTTATGTGAGTTTTGCCCTATTTTATGGCCTTTCTTGCCACAGTTGTTAACTGAATCACTGAATTTGATAAGTTAGTAACATGGTGGTTAAATGAATCCTCATTCACTTTGCTTGTTAGAAGGCTGCAAAAGGTGATCACATGACCCTGCTTTGCTTGTTAGAAGGCTGCAAAAGGTGATCACTGCAACTGTCATAAATACATGCCAGTTGTCAAGCATCCAAATGCTGATCATGTGATCATGAGGATGCTACAATGGTCATAAGTCACTTTTTTAGTGCCACTGTAACTTCGAACGATCACTAAACGAATGGTTGTAAGTTGAGAACTACTTGTATACCTGGCAATAATATGGAACTGATTTTCCATTCTTATTCTTCGAAATTTTCTCAACTTCCTAGTCTAGTTTACAAGGGGGGGGGAGTATCTCCTGCACAACCTAACTTGTTCAGCTTTGCAGAAATCAGCCAGTGACAACAACACAGAGAAAAATTGGAATGTGTCACTATCCATACGCTCATAAACCATAAACCATCCGTATTTATACTGTGAAATCCAATGGCTTGACTTCTCTACTTGGCTAGAAAAGATCAAGCAATGCCAGGAAATCAACATCATTCTATTAAGGTAAATCCTGTTGGACAGCAGCACATGAATAGGGATTAATCAGAAAGCATGGTTTATATACTATAGTTTTCAAAAGATGCGTTTGAACTGCATTTCCCATAATTTCCATATTATGGAAATCTGCTTGAGACTTCTTGGGAGTTTCAGTCTCACTAAATGTAAATGATATTCAACAGAGGAAGGCTAGTATAAATAGAAATTCTTGAAGGAAAGAAAACAGTGCAGGCTTTTGAAGATCTAACAAGCTTATTTATGCATAAATAATTCAGAATTAAAAAGGAAAGTGAAATAGTTCAAAAGGCTCCCTTCAGATTGGGAAACTGAATGTTAAATTAGCAGATACGATTTGCTAAACAAGTGTGAATCTTGCATATTAGCACAAAACACTCCAACATCGGAGGTGATTCAGTGAGGTGCTCTGAATTATCAGTTTACGACCGATTGTGAACTGTTCATTTATAAAAAGAACTACTGTAAGTAACACTTTGGCAAAGATGCTTCTCAATATGCAGGGCACTCAAATAGCACTTATCGTCAATACTTGAAAGCAAATACGCATAGCCGCCAAACACAGGTGCTATATTAGTTGAATTCACAACATAAAACTTTTAAATATTATACTGTTGGATTTTGCATGGATATACTTTGTAATCAGTTTGGTGTAATGTGCAAGGCATCAGGCTAGAAATCAGGAGACCATTCTAGTCCTACCTTAGGCACAAAACCAGCTGAGTGACCTTGAGCCAGTCACTCTCCCTCAGTCCTATGTAGGAGGCAGTGGCAAATCATTTCTCAAAAACCTTGCCAGAAAATTGCAGAGACTTGTCTAGGCAGTCTCCAAGAATCAGACATGATTGAATGGAAGGAAAAAAAATGTAATCACATGTGGAATATTGTACAGTACAAGTTACAGCTTTGGTTACTACCCCAAAAGAAAGAAATTAAAGAACCATAAAAAGAGCACAAAGCATCAACCAAAATTATCAAAAGACTACAGCATCCTTCCCTTGAATGCCCTACTTTTATATGTACTCCTAGAATTTTCAGCAATAATCATGTCGGCTGATTAATTCAGGGAGTTATAATCTGCACATTCTCGGCAGAGTCAGAGCAATTCTCATTAAGGAACCTCTGACATATCTGGTTCTAGAAAAGCACTACATGAAAAAATGTCAAGAGGTACAGAAAAGTGTGCCATGTGGACAAATCTAGAGGTAATAGAACTGGGCAGTGATTCAAGAACAGGTAAAATGAAATATAATTTTATACAGAACCTATTTGAATAACGGAATGTGCTACAAAATGTAGCGATGGTTGTCAACTTGGACAACCGTAAAAGGAGAGCAATCAATTTTATAAACAAGGATCAGCCAAACAATAGCTACAGGTTATGAGAGAAATACGTTGTCTTCCAGAATCACAGACCATTTCATTTTGAATATCATGAATTGCAAGTCATTTCATTTTAAATATAAGGATATGTGGCTGCTGCATCAGGCCCTTTTTTAGGGCTTCTTACCCATATCTGGTCAATAACTGTGGAATGGAATTTTGGATTATTCAGGCTTTTGGTCTTATCCAGCTGGGCCCTTCCTAAGTTCTTATGACTGTACTAAATTATCCTTATTCGGGTTAAAATAGGCTGGACCAGCACTTGATGAAAGATGAGGTCTTAAATAATATCCTTAAACTGTTCCATATCAGAAATACAGTTCCATTTAAAAGATAATGAAAGACATCTTCCAGGTTAGGCAAACTATATCCCATTGGTATCTGAGGGAGATGAGCAGTTTAGAAATAGGAAATATAAATAAATAAAAATAAAATTTCCTTGGATTAGATTTCAGTGTATGGCTCTCACTGTATTCATTCCTAAATGTCAGACACTGATTCAGATTTTCCATAGCTTCAACTTGAATGGAAAAACAGAGCTGATGCCACTGCATTGTACTTCCTCAGACTCTAAAGCTTAGTGTAACAAAAGGAGTGATACTGTAGATACAATAAAATGGAATGCTATAGCTATCGGGAGAAAAGTAAACTAAAACCATTTATGGATAAGCATAGCAGCTGGGAGAGATATCCCACAAGGACACCACTCTAAATGGCATCAAGAACCTCAGAAGAGCCTTATAAAGCTAACCGAAATGAGGAAATGATCGATTTTTTTCTCCTCATACTGAGCCTTTGCAAGTGTCTTAGAGACACTGTTCAGAGAATTGCCAGCCTCAAACCTTAATATTTTTATTTTTATAATTTGAGCAGGGAGGTATGTGGAGAGGACACAAGTTTTCCTCTTCTCCTGAAACATAAAGAAGGAAGTTATTAACTTTCTATTCTGAACATTCTGAATATAAAGAAGAAAGTTATTAACTTTGCATTACTTGGCCCAAGCTAACCTCCAACTATTTCTCCCCCCCCCCCCCCCCAGCATTAAGAATATTTATTTAAGCTCCCAAGAGCCATAGCCAGTCAATTCCCACACTTCTGTCTCATTTCCTTTTTTGGTTTTATTTTCAGCTGACACTCCATGACACTTTTCAATTAACTCATCTATTGAATTTTTTAAATATATTTTTTTTAAATTTCATTTCAGCTATCACCCGCATTTCATAAACTCATAGGTTTGTTAATATTTTTTCTTTTAAATAAATACCAAAATTAATATGTAAAGTAGGTCCAAAGAAAATTCTGCTGTTTGCCCTTGCTCCATTTTCCATTGACACAATGAACTAAACAATATAATTATTTGAGTTGTGTTTTAGATGTGTTATTTTATGCCACAATATTAATCCACTGATCATGCTGCCTGAGGGTGAGGGCAATTATAATTCAACATATCTTCAAAAAGGGTAATAGCAAATTTGGTTTTTGGGGGGTTGATTGGACTCAATACCCAAAATTATTTTACCAGGGCTTTCACTTTATTCAATGATTCTTAATCAATTAATAATTTAAGATTGTCAAGAGATAAGACAATATATATTTTTTATTATTTGCAATTATTTGCTCAAAACCCATTGTTAGAACTATCAGGTCTGCGATGCAAAAATCTGGCAGCCTTATTTACAACTGAATCTACATCTGAGCGAATTAAAACGTGAATACGGTCTAAAAATGGCATAATCGTTGCATTTCTACAAGCGACAAAGCCTTTTGAACACTGCTATACAGAGACATACATGACTGGCTGTTGTTATTTTATCAGGCTTGCCAACCCACCTCCAACTCAGATCCGACTCTATACAGTACTATCAACAACAGAAACAAACCAGCCCCTCCGAGTCCTGCAAACAACCGCAGCCGAAAATGATCCTGAGCCCCCATTGAAGCACTGCAGCGGCCGCCTATGGAAACAGGCACACTGACGTGCGCATGCTCAGTCCGCAGCTTCCACGGGATCGCGAAAAGCTTCTTGGGAGATTGAGTGCTCGTCTTCGTTCTGAATCAGGCAAACAAAGGGTTTAGAGAACTACGAATCCCATAAAAGCATTGGGGTTGGGTGGGTGAGCCTATCCGGAGTGAGGAAGAGACTCTAAGCAGGGTGCTATAATTCAGTCACCTTGATTCATTCCATCTGGGGCCTGGAGTGATTAATTCTAGCGCAAGCAACAATTGCAAGCCCGTTATAAAGGTGAGCGCTCTAGCCTTGGTGCGGGTTTTTCCCGTCTTTCCCTAATCATTATAAAAAGATTAGTGAGCTGGAGTTTATTTCTTTATGCTGAAATGTAGATGTGCAAACTACGCTTTATGTATTTAAAAGGGGAAGGGGCAACAATATGTGCACACTCCCGCTTTGAGTTGAGGGATAAATTACGTATATTTTCACCCGCTGAGCTTCTTTTAAACAGTTTTAGTAGTTGGGATAAATTAATGATATCCTGCTAATTTTTCCACGTGATTCTTAAATATGGACGTTAGAGTTACAAGGCTATTAAAACGAGAGACTTCAGCTTTGCTTTTAGTAGAGGAAACTGCAAATGGAGAATAGAGATAGCTGTCAAAGCCCCCCCGGGCAGCCTGCAGTCTCCCAACCGTTTTGTTTTACAATTACACACCAATTTAAATACCCCCCCCCCCCAAAAAAAGGAGAAAAGTAAAACAAGATTTAGGAGTCGGCCCTGCTCACTTTTCAGCATTGCCTGTCTCACTGATTGCCAACTCACAGCATTGCCAACTCACAGATGGCCGTGCCTGTTAAAAATGTGGCAACTTACAATTTAAAACAACACGTTCATATACAAATGCAAAATATATAATTGGAACAAGTACATGAAGATGCATTAATCAAATTGGATTCTATACATAATAGATACTTAAGCAGAATTGTGAGTTATTTTTATGTTGCACGTATGATGGAGTCTCCCCATAAACTAATTATAGAATACTGTTGACTTTTAAATGCTGTGTTGTCAGATTCATGTGGCCAGCCAGGTCGTATTGTATGTTGTTGCTGTTTCAACCCCTACATTTTTCTTTCTAGTGTTTTTCCCACAAGTGGAAGCCCTGCTTTTTTTTAAAGAAAGTGTTGATCCATTGGTTGCAACAGAAAATGTCTGACTGGTTTGCTGCCAAAGCCTGACATTGAGCCTGACATCCTAGGCTAAGAGAAAATGACTGGCCCAAAGTCACCCAGACAGCTTTCACGTCTATGGCAGAACTAGAACTCACAGTCTCTTGGTTCTAACCCATAAAATTACATATAAAACTTCTAATATGTGCTCATCATTCCATACTGGACTAGGGGAACAAGTATGAAAAAAAAATCTAGTAGCAAGAATATATACTTGCTATAAAAACTTGAATGATTTTTTTACTGATGAAAAAGATTTTTCTTATTTGAGCATTTAGTTTCTTTAAAAGAACTATTCAAATCTCATATCATAGACTCAATCTAATTGTTTTCATATCAAGTAATATGTGTGGGCAATGGATGTGGAGATGAAAATGTCAATTGGGATAGTACTCACTTCAACAGTTTCCAGAAAACCTATACCTCTTCCTGTGGTCCTGTGGAAAGACAATATTTAAAAATGTCATTAGCAAGTTGTGCAAGGACTCTTTTCTATCTGTAGAATAATTTTTAAAAGAACAATGAAGAATGTACTTCATGGACTTTTTATTGAATAAAGTCATTCTTACAATCTATTAAAGGAAATGTAAATTGCACTACAATCCTTACAGCGTAGTGCCATTTACTGGACATTTAGTCCTCACTTCATGGTACAAATTCAGTGCTACTTAATCTACAAGGCATCTTTTTGTATGTACATGTGGGAATGCAGGTAATCTTCGATTTATAACAGTTCATTTAATGACTGTTCAAAGTTACAATGGCACTGAAAAAAGTGACTTATGACCAGTTTTCACACTTAACAACTGTTGTACCATCTCTATGGTCATGTGATCAAAATTCAGATGCTTGGCAATTGACTCATATTTACGACGGTTGCAGTTTCCCCGGGGGCGCACGATTCCCTTTTGTAACCTTCTGACAAGCAAAGTCAATGGGGAAGCCAAATTCACTTATCAACAGTTTGACTAATTTAACCACTGCAGTGATTCACTTAACAACTATGGAAAGAAAGGTCATAAAATGGAACAAACTCACTTAACAAATGTTTCACTTACCAACAGATATTTTGGGCACAATTATGGTCATAAATCAAGGATTACCTGTATAGGATAATACTGGCAGAGATTATCATCTGTCATTTCATTTATAGATGGGAGAGAAAAATATTAGATTGTCCCATAGCAGCCTGGCATATGAAAATTAAGCAAGCTGCTGATTAAATAAATGGCTCAGAGTTACTAGGAGTTGGACAGCATATACATTTAATATGGTCCATTGTACAGTCAGCCAGATGTTCAGACTGGATTTGGCATTTTTGTCTACCTATCAAGTCCTTCCCAAGGACCTGGGATACGCAGATGTTGTTTGATGGTGTTAATAGTTTCTTGCAGGATGTAAGCTGTTCTGATAAAACTGCCTTTTGCAGTTAATTGATGGTAAATTTGTAAATGCTAATGGTATTCAAGTGGTGCTCCAGATGTTTTGGGATTGCACTCAAGGCACCTATTACCATTGGTACTATCTTTGTTTTCTTTTGCCATAGGTATTCTACTTCAATTTGCAGGTCTTTGTATTGTGTGATTTTCTCCAATTCTTTCTCTTCTATTCTGCTGTCCCCGGGTACTGCAATGTCCACTGTCCAGGCTTTTTGTCTTTCTTATCAACAGTTGTTAAGTCTGGGTTGTTGTATGCCACATGCTTGACTGTTTGTATTCTAAAGTCCCAGAGTAGCAACCTAGAACTAAGGAGAAACTTCCTGACAGTTAGAACAATTAACCAGTGGAACAACCTGCCTCCAGAAGGGGTGAATGTTCCAATACTGGAAGTTTTTAAGAAGAGACTGGACAGCCATTTGTCTGAAATGGTATAGGGTTTCCTGCCTGAGCAGGGGGTTGGACTAGATGAACTCCAAGGTCCCTTCCAACTTTATTATTATTAGTAGTAGTACTTTAGCTTCTTCATTTTCTATTAATTTGTCTGTTTTGAGGTTTTTACTAATATTATTATAAGCCCATCCTTGTCAAAACAAATCTTCTTGGACTCCAGTAATTGTTACAAACATAGAACATAGAATAGAGTGGGAAGAGACCTTGGAGGTCTTCTAGTGCAACCCCCTGCTCAAGGAGGAGACCCTATATCAATTCAGATAAATGGTTGTCCAATCTCTTTTTGAAAGCCTTCAATGACGAAGCACCCATACCTTCTGAAGGCAAGCTATTCCATTGGTTAATTGCTCTCACCATTAGGAAATTTCTCATTAGTTCTAGGTTGCTTCTCTCCTTGATTAGTTTCCATCCATTGTTTCTTGTCTTGCCTTTTAGTGCTTTGGAAAATAATTTGACCCCTTCATCTTTGTAGGAGCCCTTCCAATATTGGAAAGAGCTACTGTGCCCCTCCCCCCAGTCTTTTCTTTAGACTAGACATATCCAATTCATGTAACCGTTTTTGGTATGTTTTAGGCTTCAGCCTCCTAATCATTTTTATTGCACTTCTCTGTACTCTTCCCAGAGTCTCAACATCTTCTTTGTATTGTGGTGACCAGAACTGAATGCAGTATTCATCCTCATGCGCAAAAGAATCTTATATAAGTCAGAGGCTTGTGGGAAAGAAAGATATCCTGGACCTAGCAATATTGTCACATAATTTTCTCTTTTGCTCTAATCTGCGTGATTTGGCCTGAATGTTGGTAGTCTGCAGTTTGTGTATAGTGCAGTATGCTTCCTTGCTGAGTATCATTTTTATACTTTTCTCTTTTTACTTCCCCATACTTGCAAACCTGTCACTGTAAGAGCCAGAAAACTGTAAGACCATTTATTTGCTTTAATGTCACAGTGTAAACAACGCTTGCTCTTTCTCCTGGTAACTTATTACCATTATCGTACATTTTAGATGTGAGATTTGTTTACTGTGTCATTGCATGAAATGTATATTTGTGTGTATCGCTGTTGATTGGCATGATGATAGCATCGCTATTATAACCCACCTTAAAATCAGGCTTAATGTAGTTGTGACCTTGATTCTTCAGTTGAAGACCAGTTTCCTGGAATCTCTTGCTATTGTCATGATTGACTAATTGTAATCCTATGTTTCTGCATTGGGTTATGGACAAGGGTGTTTTGCAGACTTCCTGGACCTAGGGCAAGGGTAGGCAACCTTGGCTCTTTTATGACTCGTGGACTTCAACTCCCAGAATTCCTGAGCCTGCTGGAATACTGGCTCAGGAATTCTGGGAGTTGAAGTCCACGAGTCATAAAAGAGCCAAGGTTGCCTACCCTTGCCCTAGGGAACAAAAAAAAAACAATTTAGTCTTCATGTTCAATTGCCCTCTTTATTTTCTTCTTACTTTTTGTGTGGAGAAAACCTGAATTTATCTGTGGGTCATGCTGTAATTTGGAATGGGAGAAATAGGAGACACCAACCCCTTGATAGAACATGGATGTGCCATGCTCTTGCCCCTGCTTTTGCCAAGACATTGCCCAACACGAGACCTTGTGCTTTAGTGTTGCACTAGCACCATTAAACAACTGAATAATTCAGCTTCTCTCCCTATTATATTTTTATAGCCCTGTTCTAGATATGGCACTGAGGTTTGCAGTGCCAGTATATCTCAAGCTGGGGGGAAGCAGCCTAAGGGTGTTTTGATGATCTTTAGATATAAACCAGCACAGATGATATATGACAGTGATGGCGAACCTTTTAGAGTGCCCAAAAACTGGCCCCACCCCCTGCTCTGCCCCCCATCCCTCGCGCCGCCTGCCTGCAGGACCACTCACTGCCTCCAGGGCCCG